GAGACGCTGAGCTAAACAAGTGTAACCCAACCCTACCCTAGAGTTTCTACTGGAAGCGTGACCTCTTTACGGTCAACACATCCATCATTAATCACAGTTACATTCAGTGCCAAGAATTTCAGCCTTTGTTCCGTTTCTAAGCATCTCTACTGCCAGCGACGGACAGATGATCACACAGCAGCTTTAAAGTGAGATGAACCTCCAGATCAGTGTCATGGGCTTTTACGGGAAAATCATTTCAGGGTGAAAGAAATCACTTCTCCAGCAAGCACTGATGACAAAGAACAGCAAAGTGAAATGCAAACAAACCAAAGGAGAGACAACATCACACCGTCGGATGCAGCAGGACACACGTGCAGCACAGATGGATGGAAGCGGACGCGACGGAGATCTGAGCGAGCGCCGGGTTCAGATCAGCACATGGGAGCGAGTGAGCATGACTGAAATAAAGCGTGTACTTAAGCCGTGAGTGTGCTGCGCCGCGAGGCATGCTGGGAGCTGATGCTGCCGCAATGAGAGGGGAAAATAAATGCTCAGACCAGAAACAGGCCCATCAGCACAAGAGACGGAAGATTATTGTGTGACGAGAAGTTCTTCACACAACATACTGCTAGTTAGCTAGTTGCTGTTGTCTAGAAGAAACATGTCTGAATAGTCTCTCTGCATGAGATGTTCTTCCCTCACGGAGGCTCTGGGATTCCCGTGTTCCTCCACAGCAACACGAAACACGCGTGCGTTCTCACGGTTCTGTGCAGGAGTCGCAGACGCACTGCTAGATCTGATCCGGGCGTCTGTCAGCTCAGCGGACGCTCACGAGAGTTTCAAAGGGACAGTTCACCCAAAAATGAACGTTTTCCTGCTAATTTACTCATCCTCTGATTATCCAAGATGTAGTGACTTTTATTTCCTCAGTAGAACAGTAAAGAAGATTTTTAGCTGAAACGGTGCTCATTGGTGAAGTCAACGGCTACCATCTCTTTGGGAGTCAAAAAAGCACATCAGGCAACACAGAATTAATCCCCGCGGCTCCTGACGATATATTGAGGTCTTATGAAGCGAAACGATCAGTCTGTGCGAGAAACTGGACATTATTACCTGTAATCCAGAGCCTCAGGCAAACGGTGAAATACGATTCTTTTGAGTGAACTGGTGCTTTCTGAGTTTCAGTGAACTGGTTCACTTCACAAGTTTATGTAATCACGCAGTGATGTCACGTATACGCAATTATATGATTAAATCACCCAATAATGATGTGAAGTGCGGATGTTTTCATGTCTAAAGCATATAAACTAGTCTTCATCAGCTCACCTTTTTACATAAACAGTGAAAAACCATAAAAACTGTTCAGTGTTCAGTTGACGCATGCGCAGATCAGCGGCTCATCGGTGTTCGGTCCGAGTCGAACGGTTTCCTCAGTTCAGTGACTGTCGGAGGAATCGGTTCGTTCATCACAGGATCAGATTCGCCGGTGTTTCGGCTCGTTTCCAGTCGACTGTCAGGCGTCTCAAAGTGACTCTTGATTGAGTAACTCGTAGATCTGTGCTGCTCGAGCCTGAACTGATTCAGACGATTCAGTCCGATTCGATGAACTGGTTCAACTAGTTCACTAAAAAGAACCGGTTCAAAAGAATGATTCGTTCGTGAACCGGACCGTTTGCCTGAGGCTCTGGATTACAGGTAATAATGCTGTAAATAATGTTTATTGCACAGACTAATCGTTTCGCTTCATAAGAGCTCAATATATCGTCAGGAGCCACAGGGATTCATTCTGTGTTGTCCGTTATATGCGTTTCTGACTCTCAAAGTGCTGGTAGCCGTCGACTTGCATTTTATGAATCACCAATGAGCACAGTTTCAGATAAAGATCTTCTTTCCTGCTCTACTGAAGAAATAAAAGCCACTACAGCTTGGGTGGTCTGAGGATGAGTAAACTAGCAGAAACGACTACTCCTTTAAGCGGCAGCGGCATCTACTCGTGATCCGTTCCTCCGTCACTTACGGAAAGCGTTGCGTGCGAGAAGAGCGTTCTAGAGACACAGTACTCACTACGGCTAATTAAATTACGTAAACCACATCTACCTCTCCCTCCAAACGAGCTCCTCAGCGAGGCTGCAGGCAACAGAGAGAAAAGTGAAACAAGACTAACAGTGGTTAAATGTGAACAGAAGTGGAGTGAAACCGGATTCACAACCAATGACTGTACGAACATGACAACAGCATCACATTTCTTGGGGAAACACTGCAACGAAAGCCAACAGTGTAAAAGGAAAGACACTAAAACAGCAGACCAAAACTGACTAAGAAAAACATAAGCTTATGTACTTTAATCTGCTGTTGATCTCACCCAAATTCTACTTTTGTCCTGTTTTGCGGTGCAAATGTCTAAAGATTCTTAAATCAATTTACATGTACTCGAAAAGCAAAGCAAAACGACTTAAGACATGAAGTCTTGTTTTATGAGAAACTGATCAAAATGAAGTGAGTTTGATTAAAAACAAGAACAAAGTTTATTCCCCGCTGACAGATATTTGTTCTTGTTTTAAGCATAAGCTCACTCGTTCAATTCATCACTTAAATTCTGTAAATATATACTGATTTAAGGATGTTCAACAAGACAATACTGAAATTCTGCCGTTCAATGTAGACTCAGACGCAAACTCACACCTCTCCCATTCATTGCAAGTGAACATCACTAAAGTGTATTTCTCGAGCATCGTGCAGTGGGGACTGTGTTCGTGAGGTGTGTCCAGACTCGAGGTTACCTGACCGCACCAGGCGCTCCAGCTTCTCCGTGCAGGGGGACGGGCCCCTGGCGCGAGGGCTGCCCGGGTTGGAGCTCTCGGAGCCGGCGTCGGTGCTGAACGAGTCGTCGCGGCTGGGCATGAGCAGCTCTCGCACGCAGCGGTGGCACACGCTGTGCTGGCAGGGCAGGATGAGCGGCTGTGTGAAGAGCTCGGCGCAGATGGGGCAGATCAGCTCCCTCTCGATGCTCTTCAGCGGCACCTGCGGAGCACACAGCCAGGCTTGAGGAACTACTGCCATTGTTCTCTCGCGCCTCTCTGTTTCAAGCGCAAGAAGCACGATTCACCAGCTGCTCAACTCGGTCACAAGGACGAACGTCTACGAGGCCTGTGTTTTAATTTAAAAGCATTTAAAAAGATGTATATATTAAATAAACTCAAAACAACCGGTTCAACTTTCCGCCAGCAAACAGCAGCGGGGTCAGGACTCACCAGCAGCGAGCTTCGCCTGGACATCGCGAGCAGAAAGAAGGACAAACTCCGCGTTTCGGATCCAACTTCGCTAATGAGAGATTCTCGCAGATCGAGGACGAATCGAACAACGTGACGCGCCGATAACGCGCGAGCCAGCCGAATGTGGGCGGAGCCATCGGCCGTCACTATAGCAACCCTGCGGCGAAGCTATCGGGTATTTAAATAAGGGGCGGGGCCCGCGACAGAACGCCACATTATACATGATACAAATCATTATTTGTATCCAAGCCGACGCTACATTCTTCACAAACAACCTCTCATGTTCACTGACAGCATTATTATACATGATGGGAAGCTGAGGTGGAGCAGTGCACGGGATCTTGACAACAGCACATCAGAGGCGGACGAACGAGCGATTATAAAGCGCCAACATAATAGCACAATCATAATTAGTATTATTATATGTAATGATTCGTGCTGGCTGTGACCTCACCTCGCCTCTCTCGATGCGCTCCACGATACTCGCGAACTCTGACATCTCCGAGTCCGACATGCTGAGGATGCTCGAGCGCTGTGGAGATGATGCAGATGATGAAGATGATGAAGATGGTTATCTGTTTCCTCGAGGCGGCATCATCCGCGCGGGAACAGCTTCTCTCACGAACAGAAATTTCATTCAACTCCAGGATGATCTCGAGGACGCGAGACTCCGCCCATCCGGCCGCTCGGGGGGCGTGGCCTCGCGGTGACTGACAGCTCTATTGTGTAGCTCTGCTTCTGATGAAACTCTCAGCAGGTCACACAGATCAACAGATCAACTGAAACTAAAGGTCATTTCAGCACGTGTGTGTGTGTGTGTGAAGACAGAAGCATGTCGAAATGCTTGAGAGCAGAAGCAGGACAGAATCAGCTCTGCTTTGTGTTTGTGTACACATGCTGAGATATTGATGATGAATAAATACTGCACACAGTCTAAGACCATGTAGCCCAGCAAAGGCTGTATTTTGACCGTGTGTCATGCAGGATGATCCTTCAGGAGATTCAGATGATGCTGGAGGACAGCAGATGGCAGATTTACTTCATTAAACATGAGATATATGATTTCAGTACATATGTAGGTCATTCAGATTCTTTCTGAACAGATGTACTTTATTCTGTGGTGAATCAGGAGCATATCCCAGAACAAGCAGCACTTCAAAACTGTCGAGTAAAACAGAAACGGCACAAATATTGCCTTTTTATATCCGTGTTTTGTCTTCTCTCTGACGAGACATGCAGCACGGCGCTGGCCTTTAGAGCCATTCGATGTTTAGAAGGTTTGACATTAAATCCAAACCATCTTTGAACCATAATTCTACATCATCATCCTGTAAACGTGTGTGTGTTTCTTATGTGTGACGACAAAGTCAAAATAGCTGAAGTGAAGAAGAATCTCTGGAGCATCTCCCTTTATTCTAGCAGATCCAGACAGGCTAAATATTTGTCAAAAGAACAAGAGTTTTATTCAGACATTTCCATTCAGTGGCTATGTATAATGAAATAATAATCTTAAACTTTAAGACTTCTGTGTATGCCAATATCTTCAATCTTACATTTTGGACACGTGAGTGTGTGTTTGTGTGTGCGAGAGTGTGAGAGCGTGTGTATGAGAGTGTAAGTGAGTGTGTATGAGTGTGTGTGTGAGAGAGTGTGTGTGTGCGTGAGAGTGTGTATGTGTGAGAGAGAGTGCGAGTGTGTGTGTGTGTGAGTGACTGAGTTAGAGTGTGTGTGTGTGTAATTGTACAGTTATTTTCATAGTTCATACAATTCTAGATTAATGATTTAACAAGGTGATCTTTGCTCACACACACATTTCCATTAACATGCATACAACCCTTAATGCATGATATTCCTCAATGTCATTAAAATATAATGTATATAATGTAATATTTGACAGACGGTTTTTTGTCCTGAGGTGACTCTAAATCTCTTGAAGAAATCTCAGACATGTTGAAAACTCAGTTCTTTTATTTAACTGTTATTAAATACTTGTTTCGCACCAGCACTGCCATAAACGCTTATTTCTGGGACATGATAAAAGCTCTTCATTTATTGACACTCGCAGCCCGTCAGTTCAGCACTTGAACTTTACATGATAATAAAATATGAGCAGCGTGACTGTCACTCCTACACTAGATATTACAGTATAGAAAAAATAATTTCATTACTTGATCCTTGAAACACACAATCAAGTGGAGATGCCATGTGTATATATAGAATATACTGTAACACCCTAAAGACATCTGAGGCACGAGAGGACAATGATTTCACAGAAAGAACATGAAATGGAAATATACAGTATATATATATATATATATATAAAGCGTAAAACAGATAAACAGTGCATATGACTCCAGAAACAGCTCATCTGTACAAACATGAGCTTCACTGCGAGCACTTCTTGTCTGTAAGGCAGAAACTAATCACACAATGCGTGAAGAGGAAGGATGAATCTGGCAGACGAGCCGGGGACGAAACCAACTAAAGAGCGACAGTTTTACCTTTATTAATAGATTATGCTGGATGCGATCATTTATTCATCAGCTTGTGTGTGAGCGCTCACGCTGGCTCTAATGCTGTGGAGTCCGTCTGTGGTCACGTGCTCTTCTGCCTCCACGCCCCCTGCAGCTGCCGCAGACTCTCGAACGCCCGCATGCTGATGTTCAGCGCCGGATGCACCTTCCGCAGCTCCGCTTCTCCGATCAGAGACAAGCCGCAGATGCCGAAGTACGTGTGGAGAGGGTCTGAGGCGCAGACGGCGGAGACAGGAGACACACGGAGACAATAGATCAGTGGCACTCATCAACACCTGCTGCTGACACACGCCACAACACTCCGACTGAGTGCCAACACAGCTCTGTGTCTTTAAGAGCTCATGAATAATTCATGCTGACCCGTTCAGAACCCCGTGATGTCATCAGCGTCTCTCCTGCAGGACACGCCTGGTTTTCAATGCATTAGTAAGCTGTTTTCTGTGAACGTGAGACTTCTGCTTCATTAGCCGCTACAGATAAAGAACTACAACTAGAATAAAGTGCAGTAAACAGTTAAACTATTTGCGCTGCAAATATGATAAGCAGCATCATTTTTGTACAGGTGAGATAACTGGAAGTCTCACAAACAGTCGCTTCTGGAAGTAAAAATCCCATTCATTTTCTCCACAGGGGAACTGACGTTTAACAATAACTTAGAAATCTTACAAAACAGACCTACTGTAAGCTACAGTGTTGTAATATCAACCTTTTTTTTTTTTTTTTAAGTAATCATTAAACAGAGGAACTCCTGATGAAAGATTACGTTACCCATGATTCAGCACAGAAATCAGAGAATCCAAACAAGCCAATCCTGCCACAACTCTTTAAAGCTTGCACGCAAATTACATCATTGAGCAATTAAAAACTCTATTTTCAGCATCATTCCTCCAGTCTTCAGTGTCTCATGATCTTCAGAAATCAGTATAATATGCTGATCTGCTGCTCGAGAAACATTTCTGATTATTAGCAATGTTGAAAACATTAATATTTTTGTGGAAACTGTGATGCATTTTATTTTTCAGGATTCACAGATGAATAGAAAGTTTAAAAGAACAGCATTTATTTAAAATATAAATATTTTGTCACATTATAAATGTCTTTACTGCCACTTTTGATCAATTTAATGCATCCTTGATCAATAAAAGTATTGATTTCTTTAACAAAAAATAAATAAAAATAAATGACTGACCCCAAACTTTTGAACGTTAGTGTATAATGTGACAAAATATTTATATTTCAAATAAATGCTGTTCTTCTGAACTTTCTGTTCATCTGTGAATCCTGAAAAATAAAATTTATCACAGTTTCCACAAAAATATTGTGCAGCACAACTGTGTTCAACATTGATAATAATCAGAAATGTTTGTTGAGCAGCATATTATACTGATTTCTGAAGATCATGTGACACTGAAGACTGGAGGAATGATGCTGAAAATACAGCTGCACATCACAGAAATACATTACAGTTTAACAGATACTCACATAGAAAACAGCTGTTTTAAATAGTAATAATATTTCACAATTTTTTCTGTATTTCTGATCAAATAAATGCAGCCTAAATGCAGAAATAAATAATCGTACTGATCCCAACCTTTTGAACAGCAGTGCATATATTGTTTCTATACACACACAATCAGCATTTCTTTATATTTAGCCATTATTTTTAATTTGATTACGTAATTTCGCAAGTATCTTGCAAGTTTTGGTCTGATTTTTAAAAATACTTTTTTTACTTCAAATCAAAGTTTGTAATGTGATTCTCTTAAAAAAAGACTCTTTTAATAATCCCTATGTGAGAAATGAATGGGAAAATACTTCTGGAACTAAAGCTGCTGAAAAAGTGTGTGAAACTGATGAGCTACAGTCAAAAGATCAACGAATTATGAATATTCATACAGATGATTAGCGCTCATGTGCCCTCCAGACGGTCTCCTGTCCTAATAAACCCCATCAAATACATGTCTATTAATATATATATGAGTATTAAGCTCCTCGAGTGCCTCACCTCACACGGTTTGCTCTGAATGTATCTGTACTGTCGTTACATGACTGAATCGAAAGTATTTAGATGACTTGTTTTTGTATTGTCTATTTCTATATGTTCATATTTCATGTTTATTTATCTAACAGCGCTGCCCTGCGAGGCACAGCATCTACTCCTTTGTGTGTCTCTGCATAGAGCTGCATGACAATAAGCTCTCTTGACCTGAAAAGCAGCATTGTAAGCTCAGTGTGATTTCTGGTCATCAGGTGACACTGGAAACACGTCAGATCTCCAGAAACCCGAGTCTCAGCACACAATCGTCTCATCAGTTACACACGGAGGCCTGCAGCATTGGGTTACGCTGCGGTTTCGACTGACAGACACAAACAAAAGCTCTTCAGCGCTGTGAACAAAACCGTAACCGTACCTGGGTGACTGTCGGGCCACTTAGCGAAACCGCCCACCAAGCGGTCCTGCGTGGACAGAATGTAGTTCCGGTTCTTCTCAAAGTTAGTGTACTGGAACACGTCTAAGAGCTGCGGGACACAAGAGCGCATGTTCGACTCAACTGAACATAATTCTACATATAATGTGCACAAAATGTAAAAACTCTTCTTTTAATTCCACTAAGAGGTCTGGCCGTGATGCATCGATCTTCTGTTGGTCACATCTTCACAAGATGCTTCAGCTTTCAGAACGAGCTTGTGATGAATGAAAGTCAATGGACTCACATTGTAGTGTGTACTAGTGTGTACTAGTGTGTACTAGAGATTCCATCACACCGCTAACCGCACTAGTACTAGTGATGGTCGACTCGCTAAACAACTCCGAGAACTAATCAAAGGAGAATTCATCTATTGTAGGGCCTTATGAAATCTGTTTTTCAGTTGTTGTTTTTTTCCAAATTCCATTTTGATGGTTCAGTTTTTTTCATCAAAAAGCATGTCTAATTATTTGAAACCATGAAACTTATACCAGTTTACAGCAATTTATTAAAAGTTCAACAAAAAATTTTTTTTAACCAAACATGTGCTTTCCGTTTGAATTTTTCTGGATTCCAGTTTAATTATTATTATATATATATATATATATATATATATATATATATCCTCCTGACATTCTGCCGTAAAATAGTAATGTATTTCTGACACAATTTTTTCAAGTTAAACCGAACTTTTCTTTTGACGGGTTGCTGTGAAGAGTTTTGTGTGTGTGTGTGTGTGTGCACGTGTGTGTGTTTGTGAGTGTGTGTATGAGTGCGTGAGTGAGTGTGTGTGTGTGTTTGTGAGTGTGTGTGAGTGAGTGAGTGAGTGAGTGAGTGTGTGTGTTTGTGAGTGTGTGTGAGTGAGTGAGTGTGTGTGTGAGTGTCTGCGTGCGATTTAACAGATACTCACATTGTAGTGTGTACGTGTGTGTGTGTGAGTGTCTGCGTGCGAGTGTGTGTGAGTGTGTCTGTGTGTGTGTGTGAGTGAGTGAGCGAGTGTGAGTGTGTGAGAGTGAGCGTGAGTGAGTGAATGAGTGAGTGTGAGTGAGTGTGTGTGAGCGTGAGTGAGTGTGAGTGAGTGTGTGTGAGCGTGAGTGAGTGAATGAGTGAGTGTGTGTGTGTGTGAGTGTGTGTGTGTGTGTCTGTGTGCGAGTGTGTGTGTGTGTGTGAGTGTCTGCGTGTGAGTGTGTGTGTCTGCGTGCGAGTGTGTGTGAGTGTGTCTGTGTGTGTGTGTGAGTGAGTGAGCGAGTGTGAGTGTGTGAGAGTGAGCGTGAGTGAGTGAATGAGTGAGTGTGAGTGAGTGTGTGTGAGCGTGAGTGAGTGTGAGTGAGTGAATGAGTGAGTGAGTGAGTGAGTGAGTGTGTGTGTGTGTGTGTGTGTGCGAGTGTGTGTGTGTGTGAGTGTCTGCGTGTGAGTGTGTGTGTCTGTGTGCGAGTGTGTGTGTGTGTGAGTGTCTGCGTGTGAGTGTGTGTGTCTGTGTGCGAGTGTGTGTGTGTGTGAGTGTCTGCGTGTGAGTGTGTGTGTCTGTGTGCGAGTGTGTGTGTGTGTGAGTGTCTGCGTGTGAGTGTGTGTGTCTGTGTGCGAGTGTGTGTGTGTGTGAGTGTCTGCGTGTGAGTGTGTGTGTCTGTGTGCGAGTGTGTGTGTGTGTGAGTGTCTGCGTGCGAGTGTGTGTGAGTGTGTCTGTGTGTGAGTGTGTGTGTGTGAGTGAGTGAGCGAGTGTGAGTGTGTGAGAGTGAGCGTGAGTGAGTGAATGAGTGAGTGTGAGTGAGTGTGTGTGAGCGTGAGTGAGTGTGTGTGAGCGTGAGTGAGTGTGAGTGAGTGAATGAGTGAGTGAGTGAGTGTGTGTGTGAGTGAGTGAGAGTGAGTGAGTGTGTGTGAGTGAGTGA